GTACACAGATATACGCCCAACATACAAAAGGACCATTTCTGACAAAATAGAAATACTTGAGGGTGAATAATGGAATACCTGGATTAGAGTGTTACAACTATCCCCTACATGAAGTAGACTTCATCGTCAAAGTCCGCAATCGAAAATAAAATCGGGTAATGCTCCTGAATCTCTTCGTCCGACTCCCAAGTCCATTCGTAGCCCTTCCGGTGCCATTTCATCTTCACTAGCTTCACCACCTTGTTATGAAGAGATTTAGTTTTTCTATCCAAGACTGTGATGGGATTCTCTACATAATTCAGGCTCCTATTCACCTGAATTTCATCCAAGGAAATAACTACGGCCTCGTCTACAATACACTTCTGGTGCTGAGACACATGAAAGGTGATGTGGATCTTACTAAACTCATCCGAAAGATCCAATCGATAAGCATCCCTACTAACTCGGGCAAAAATCCTGAAGGGACCAATGAATCGTGGCCGCAACTTGCCTCTCTTCCGAAACTACATGACACCTATCCACGATGAGACCTTAAGCAACACAAATCTCCCACCTGAAACTCAAGATTTGATTAGCGCTGGTCTGCATAGCTCTTTTGGCGGCTCTGAGCAACCCTCAATCTATCCCACACCTGATGAATCAACTTTATGGTCTTAAGCACCACTTCGGTGCTTCCCATGACTCGATGTCCAACTTCCCCCAACAAACTGGAGTCCTACACCTCCGACCATACAACATATCAAACGAGGGTCGGTCAATACTAGCATGTTAACTATTGTTGTATGAGAACTCTGCTAGTGGAAGGTAAGTATCCCAACCCCCTCCGAAATCCAATACACATGCATGAAGCATATCCTCGAGCCTCTAGATCGTCCACTCACTCTGACCATCTGTCTGGGGGTGATAAGCAATGCTGAAATGCAACTGAGTACCGAACTCCTCATGAAACTTCCTCCATAATCTGGAGGTGAAACAAATATCACGGTCTGAGACCAAAAATTTCTCTACGGAGATACTCTTAGAAATCAAAATAAAATACGCACTCTTTGCCAACATATCCATAATTACCCAAATGGAATCCACACCCTGAGCTTTCCTAGGTAATTTCGTGATAAAATCCATGGTGATCTCTTCCCATTTCCACATGGGAATAGGTAGCAGCTGAACCTTTCCATGAGGCCTCAGATGTTTGTCTTTGACCTTCCTGTTGGATCTAAAATATGGATTATACGTTGCTTTTCTTGGATTTTTTTAGTTCTTGGTCTAGCGCCGAAAACAATCTTGAGTTTAATTGTGGTTTGGATCGAAATCACATGTGATTTCAGTCTAGCCTTTGAGTTGTGGGCTTGGGTTTTCGGTCATTATATATAAATAGTCATTAGGGGAGTGTTTAAGGGTGAGACATTAGTGGAAAAGGAGGAGAAAACGTTCTAAGGAGTTATCATTGTCATGTCTTGGTGTTCTAGAGAGAGAAAGTAGAGAGAAGGTGCAAGTCTGTGTATGAATGTTGTGTAACCGTATCATCATTCAAATCATTGAATACATTGAAGATTCATCTTGATATTCTTGTTCTTCTTCTTCTTCTCCATTATGTCTTGCATCATCCACTTGATTGGGATTACACACCATAAAGTAGATCAGATTGATACATCAAGCAAATTTGGATCCAATCAATCATTTTGGCGTTTTTGGACTTTTTCTTGAAGCTTTTGGCGTTTTTGATTAGTTTGGATGAAATATTGGGTGTTTGTTCTTCATTTTCTTCATAAAATTAAGTTTTTGATCGATTTTTGCATAAAAAATTTGAAATATCGTGTTTTTTGGTCGTAACCAGCGAGGGCGAGGCAGCGATTCTCGGTCAAGAGGTAGGGTTTCCGAGGTGGTCTCAGCCAAGATCGCATTTGCGGTCAGCAGGTTCTCGGTACGAAACGAGTTTACAGCCGAAAGCGAGGTTCTTGGTGGAACGTGCGGAGGTTTTCGGTTCGGAGGGTTTTCGGTGCGCAGCTTCGCATGCTTGCGGTTCGAACATTTTCAGTGCACGTGTTCTTCCTGATTTTTCGGTTGCATTTTGGGTTAGTAGCTTCTCTTGGTGTGAACATTCTCGGTCAGGACCTAGAAGCTTCGCATTTTCGGTCAAAATTTTAGATTTTTAACATTTTTGGCCCAAAAATCAAATTTTAGAATTTCAAAGTTTCGTTTTCGGCATAGAGCTTTAACTTTCAACTTTTGACTATCAATTTTGACCTTTGACTTTCAAAGTTGACTTTTGATTCTCAAGTTTGACCTTTGACTTTCTTGTTTAACTTTCAAGTTTTCACTCTTAACTTTTCGGTTTGACTTTCAAGTTTGACTTTTTATGTTTGACTTTTCAAGTTTCACTTTCATTTTTGACTTTCAAGGTTTCAAGTCAAAGGGCAATTTTGGTAAGCAAGTTCATCAATCACTAAGGGTAATGAAGTTTCATGTTCTCAGTCTTGTGAAGCTAAAATTAAACTTTATCGTAATCAACATGATTTACTAAAAAGGGAAGTTCAGGACCTTAAATATGAAGGATATACACTTAGGAAGTCCCAAAACCCTTTAAAAGCACAACTAGAGGCCAAGCAAAAGGACTTTAGAAAACTTCAAGAGGAATATAGCAACAAATGTGCGAATTATAAATATGTTAAGGAACAGCTTGCTAATTTGACTACCGAACTTGATGCATTAAAAGATAAATATAAAGATGTTAAATTCAACTTTAAGAAATTTGACGTGTCAAGTGAAGTAGTTGCATCCATGATAGAAAAACAATTAACCTTTAAAGGTAATCAAACTAAGGGTCTAGGGTATCATAGTGTTCCACCTTCCTTCAATGACAACTATACCCCACCCCTTGAAATCAATGAGGAAGAGACACCTACTCAGTGTGGCCGAACCCCTCGATTTCATATAGGTTTGTGAATTTTAATATTATATTTTTGTATGAACTGTTTGAATGAAAACAATTTTAACTTTTGATTTCAAGATTGAATGTAAATGGTGATTTCATTCTGCAATTTAATTTATTTTCTATCATGACGTTTTGATTTCAAAGAGATACTATTTATTTTTATACAGTATTTCTATTACAAAATATATCCAATATAATAGAAAGAAAACTGTACAAAAAAAAATAAAACCAAGTGTCACTTAAAGTTTTATTTAGTTTTATCTGTATAATTATAATTATAATTATTATTTTTTTGCATGATTGTTCATATATATATATATATATATATATATATATATATATATATATATATATATATATATATATATATATATATATATATAAACAATGTGTTTTTAGCATATATAAAGTTTACAATATAATTTGAACATGTAAAATTTATTAGTTGGATTAAAATTGTTAATCTTATACAACCTTTGTCACTTTCGTCAAGTTTTACACAACTTATATTTTTGTATTTCCAGTTTAAGCCATAATATATATATATATATATATATATATATATATATATATATATATATATATATATATATATATATATATATATATATATATATATATATATATATATATAATTGACTTCTTTTGATAGCAACCATCCCCGAAACCATCACCCTCCTATCATTCTTAAACCACCATCGAACAATTCCAACACGAAGTCAATCACTAGGCACCTCCAATATCAAGCGCAAAACCAACTTGCACCCTCGATCTTCATTGCTACCATCTCCATCGACCAATTTACCATTCACAAAGAACCATCCTTTATAGCCAACCACCAAACCTTCGACCGTGAAACACTACCTCCTTCCCTACCAACTGGATTATGGAATTGACCCAATAAAAGAAGAAGAAAAAGAGGCGTGTTCTGCTTTTGGTTTCCTTGGTTGCACCATTGAAAGCACAGTTAGGGCACCAAATTATTTTATTTTAATGTTGGTTAAACAAATTAATCTCGACTTATTTCTTGTGAGCTAAACGATTCAAACAGTCTAGCAAATTTAATATGGGAAACGTTAAATTTTAAATCTTGACCAAGTAGATAATATTAATTAATCGCCTTTAGAAACTAATTTTTGAAAAAAAAAATTTGTACGTGTTGCTTGGCGCGAGTAAACGGCTAGTGTGTGTGTGTATATATATATATATATATATATATATATATATATATATATATATATATATATATATATATATATATATATATATATATATATAGGGTTAGGATTAAATATGAATTACAATTATTGTGTGAATGTATGACTAGATTTGAACCGTCGGATTATAATTCTTAACGAATAAGATTGATGTGGTATACCATAGTTACTGTGTCATGCATCACATAGTAACATTGCTTTATTTATAAATAAAAAAAAAAACTTATTGCTGAGGGTATTATAGACATTCTTATTCAGCACAAAGTAAGGAAGTTATTATTTAGGGATTTATATTTTTTTTAATTCCATATAAGCTAACAAATTTTTTTTTAAATAAAAGCAGTTTAAGATCACTGAACGTGTCCTATCATTCTTAAAAAATATGACTGCAGTCAAATGATTGTTTGAGAATTAATATTCTTAAAGAATATGCATACGTATTTGTTTATAATAGTAATTTCCATCAAAATAACAACTATTATTATTGCAAAATTGACATATTCTTATGAGAATAATATAAAAAAAATAGAATTTGACAAAGCATTCTATGAGAATATGAACACTCTTTGTATTCTTTATATATATATATATATATATATATATATATATATATATATATATATATATTATATATATATATATATATATATATATATATATATCACATTCTTCAAGCATGTACGTATGGTTATGCTTATTCTGGAAGAATATACATTTGATTATGTTTATTCTAACAACCATGTTATCACATCTGAGGTTCTTTAAGAATGAATGTACAAAAATCAAATTATTATGCTTCAAGAATGAATTTGAAATCATATCAATTTCACATTTTCATTTTCAGAAATAGTATTACATAAAGGTTATCAACATCATTTTATTAGTTTCAAAAACCAAATACATTAAATAAAACAAAAACAAACAAAATTACTATTTTTCAAAACACAAGTTTTATTCCCCTTGAATTTTTATTTGTTGTTCTTGTTGTTTAAACACTTCTTCCAATGGTAATTGTTGTAGAGGTTCTGTTTGTAAATTTATTGATGCTTGTTGTGTTGCTTCTTGTGTTACATCTGCAACTACAAAAGTAAAACAAAGTAGTTAAGAATCCATTTTTATATATCTTATTGTATAATCAATTTCATAAATCTGTATTCTACAAATGATATTAAACATAAATAAACATGGAACCAGTTTTCATAAGCCATTGTTATATTATACAAAAGTAAGCATGCTTTAAGCATGTATTTTTTTATTATGTGAATATTGATTATTACATATTCATGATAGTATATATATATATATATATATATATATATATATATATATATATATATATATATATATACCATTCTTTAAGAATGAAACTTTATAATAAACCAATTTGGTTCATTCTTAAATAACATGACAATTAAGCAATTCAAAACCAAATATATAATCAACCACAAAAGTATATAACAGATTAAAAACAGTACTTAATCCATAGTCAACCATTTCTCTGTTAATTACCAATAAACCAAACACCTAGGAATAACCCTTATATCACACCCTCATCATATTAACAAGAAAATCCAGGATTCTTGAAATTGACACAGTTAAAACAAACACCTAATCAAGTTCCAAGCTTTTCTTTATTGGAATAAAAAAATATATTAAAAGTGAAGTAGGAGACGGTAGAATAATTATGGGTTTAGGGCTTTTCTATGGAATAATACAGTAAAAAAAACTCAAGGTTTAATCGATTAGATTATGGATTCATCGTAGATGAAGATGGGAGAAAGAAAGAAGATGAATAAATCGTATGTAAAAACATACCTAGAGAATGTATGATGGTAACCGGAACAGAAGGTGCTAATGGTGGACATTTACTGGTGGTGAAGATTGCTTTCCGGAGGCTACCTGTTAGGAAATAGGCGTATCTCCGGCCACCGGAGTTGGAGACAAAGAGGTTTGAAACATCAGCGATAGTGATGAGAACGAAGATGGGATGGAAAGACTATGATGAGTAATATGCGTGAATCAATTTACTTCAATAGAACCTCCAAAGTTCTGTTTATCTTATATTTGGTAGTTTTGAAACCAAATCCCTTTTTAATCTCAATTAATGTAAAATATAGGATCACTATTTAAAATTAATTAATTAATTTATATGTCAAAATATCATCGTACCTTTATCAAATGATTGGGTGACACCGAGTCATATGTTCACACAATAATTATAGAATATATATGAACCTAACTCTCTCTCTCTCTCTCTATATATATATATATATATATATATATATATATATATATATATATATATATATATAGAGAGAGAGAGGAGAGAGAGAAAGAGAGAGGTTCAAATGAGAACCAAAAAATGTTAAGAACCATTTCTTTTTTAAATTTCATTAAAGATATTTTGGACAAATTAAAATTAATATTTAATAAGTTAAACTCTCCCTTCCTTCATTTACAACCGGATTCAATCTACCATCGCCGAAACATCTTCGCACTGTCGTCGGACCGCCACTAGAATATCGTTCGATCATTGCCGGCCTAACAGCAAACTTAATGATATTTTTTTTGTCGTATTCACAGCTTAATCGAACAAACATTACAGATATTATTTAAACATACTATGATTACAACTAATAATACAACTAAATTTACGTAATTTAATCAATGAAATGGACCTATGTTTTGAAAATTCAATTTTTTCTCCTAAGTTTTAGATCTCTTTAAAATGAGTACTTTTAAGACATCCACAATTTAAAATACTAAATTCACAATTTAATAAACATACTAATTCACTCCTTCACATTTTAACACAAAAATTCATACAAAATTCACAACTTAATACAGTACATTCACAAATTATTCTTATATTAATTTAATATATTCACTGTTTGATTCACAAAATTCTCAACTTAATACATGAATTTCACAACTTAAAATAGAAGATTCGGAAATTAATACATAATATTTATAGTTTTGCTTCCTCCTAACACCATCAAATATGGACCTCGAATAATTTAGCAAGTTCCAAAAAACACTATATCAATGTTATTATTCTAGAATGAATGTTTTATATATGTATTATTGAAGTTGATGTGACCTGCTCCTCCGATGGTCTAATGTGGTGGTTATGATTGCTCTGGGAAGACCTACGAGGTCACAACAAGGGAAAATCAGTTGGTCGTTCTCCGGGAGGAGCTCCTGGGAAAATGCTCTGATGGTCAAGTTGGTGACTGGACTTAGAGTACAGAGATTGATTTGAGAAGGACAACTTACTCTTCAAGGTGGTGGAGAAGGCTTTTTATATTGAGACATCCTGGCATTTCGTACATGGGACAAGGTCATTAGGTCTGATAGGATTTGATGCCTTGATCAGCTAATTGTGATCCTCCATGTGTGAAAGCAAATAATTAGTTCAAGTGGTAATGCTCTGAGCATACTCGTTGTCTCTTGGAGTCGTTAGGTTTGTCACAGGGTGGAAGACGCCCACTGTAGGGCTGGACCTTCCACGTGGGCATCCAGGTCTGAAGGGACGCCTGTGAGCACAAGACTTTGTCGGGGCGGCTATGGTGGGAGCAGCTTGGCATAGCAGCTTGCCTTGAAGTACCTTCATCACAGTTGAGCGCAACTCCTAGCTCATTCTAGGGGGCACGTTATCAAGTCCTCCAATCCAGTAGTTATAGCGTTTTCTAGGCTAGGTATAATGTTGTGGACATAACTACATCGGCACGCGTCAAGCTGGGTTCTAGAGATGCTTTAATTTTTTCGGCGATGTGACTGCCGATCATGTTGTTCAGTTACGTCATACGTCAGGGATTTTGAATATCCTGTCTTCTCTTATTCCTTATAAACAAGGATCTTTCCCTTATTCTGATTACACCTTTTATCTTGTTCCTGCTTTCTCTCTTCTTTGGCCTCCCTCTTCTGATTTCTCTTTCTGTTTTCATGGTGAACCAACCTACCACCGCTCCATCTCATGCGGAGTTCGAACTCATGCAAGATACCTATGGCTTTTCTTTGGTGGCAGAATAGAGTTTCAAGTCACCAACTCGATGATCTTGTCAACACCTTTAGGGAAGGTTGGAATTTATCTGAAAACCTTCGATATTGGGCTTCATCTTCCCTTAACTGACTTTCAGGAAGAGTTGCTTCAGAAAAATGATTGCATCATTTAGATGCACACTTCGAACACTGTCAACAAGATAGTGGCATTCGAGGTGACTTGACGGGCAATTGACATCCTCCCTTATTTCTTTTTCTTCAATTTCTTCTTCTGATTCAGTGCCACCATCGACAAGTTCATGTTCTCCACCTATCACGGTGGTCACGTCTTGTTTCCGTATAGTAAAACTCCCAAGAATTGGCAAGACAAGTGTTTGGTTAACCAAGAACAAGTTTATCACGAGCATTATCGGGCGAATAACATGTCGAATGTTACCCCCAAGTTGTTTCCCTACAACCAGGCTATTGCTGACTTTCTGAAAATGATCTAAGTTGTTCCCGACGAGTATTTGTAGGTCCTCCTATCCGTTGTTAGAATGAGTCATGCCTGGTGTGCACGAAGGTGGATACTAATCTTCTATACCATTATTGATGGTAAGTGCTTCTGATGTTGCTCTCTTCTACTTCTCCCCTTTATTGTTTTATAGACTTATAGAATACAAAGTATTTATATTGCTTTGGCAGGTATTGAGTCTTCAGTGTCGTTGGAATTCTTTCTACAGAAACGGTATCGGTGGAAGTTAGAGCAACGTGAAGTTGATCTCTATGATACTCTTCCACCGCCACGTCGTTCTGATCGTCTAGTTGAGTTTCCAGATATAAAAACCAGTTATTTCAATCCAATGAAGTCAAACCAAAGTCAAACAACTTTAACTATGTCAAACATAAGTCATAATAAGTTTAGAAGTTATGACCTGTCGAAGTTTTGTGACAAAATTGCCACGACACCGGGAATCGTAAAAACTGATTTTACGATAGATTACTTTTTAGCCTTAGTGATCTAAATGAAATTTGTAGAGTACATCTCCACCTACGAGTGGATAAAAAGAACATACAATAATGGAGCTCGTATGCAAAATTTATGGCCTTCCAAAGATGTAGTAGTCTAAGAGAGTGACACGTGGCAGAAACCCTAGTTTAGCCGTGTTCCATGACATGGACATGAGTTCCACGACGTGGAAGTGCTCTAAAACACCTCTCAATGCTAGTATGGAGATTGCAAGTCTACAGGAGTGAGGTGTTGAATCTCCACGACGTGGAATTAAAACCCACGAAGTGGAATCAGTATCGTGAAACCTTCCGAAGCTAGAATCCAAATGGCAAGTCTACGACCACGACGTGGATAATAAACCCACGACGTAGACTTCACTTAGATAGCCTATAAATAACAAGTTCGAATCTATGCTTCCTTACACCTACATCTCTTCTCTCTCTCTCTCTTATTGGATAAGGTGTCTAAATTCATAACTTATTTGGTATATACTTGACCCGACTTGGCATGGTCCATTTGGGTTGCACTTCACCCAAACGATTTATGGATAATATTATGAGAATTGTATACTTATGTTTTATCAATATATTATAAGTTATAATATATTAATATAAAGTCATGTTATTTAATTAAGTTTTAATCTTAAATTAATTATGAATTGATTTAGTAATTAAAAGGAAGACTAATTAAATCATGGACTATTATATTTATATGGTGTGGGCTAACACTCATTTGGGAATGGGCTTAGCTTATATGGAAGTCCATGGATGATCCATGGAGCTTTTTAACCCATGGATCCTTGGAAGAGGAAAAGACATGGGTTACTAGGGTTTACCCTAATCATCTACACTATATAAACAAGCCTATGTTGCATGAATTGACACCCTAGTGTGTGTGAGAAGTGGTGGCCGATTTCTAGTGCAAAGTATACCCTTTCATAAGGTTTTCCAAGTTTGTGGTGATTTGTGATTTCCCCTTGAGGCATTCACATTATTGGTGGTTGGCTCTCAAACTGCAAGGAATCAACACTCATCAAAAGGTATGTAATTCATCTAGTTCTTTTATGTTTAAAAGTTCCCCATGCCATGCTAGATAAGTTATAAACCTTGGAAACCAAATTTTACATGTATTTTAGACAAACATAGATCCAAGGTTTATTAGGGTTGCATATACATTTAGGAAGTGTTGGAATGCTCAAAAACCAACATCTCTCTCTCTCTCTCTCTCTCTCTCTCGTTTGTTGAAGCCGCTTCGCTTCCCGAGCCCGACGATCATGAACCGTTGAACGGTTCTAGTTAGTTTCTAACCGCAATCACACTCAAGGTGAGTTCATACCCTACGTTTTAACGATTTTTCATTGTTTTAAGGGGGGAATACAAGTAAAACACAATAATATTTGAGTAAATAAACAAACCACTACTTATGTTTTCTTACCTTTTATATGCATTTTACGTGAAATTACTAAATACGCGAAACAACGTTACCACAAAATTTACGAACATTTACATGCAAAAACGTGTTAAATTGCAAAGATTTTCATTTCAGCAAAACATATAGTATAAACTGTAATGGACATAGTTTATGGTTCATTTTTCAATAATTATCCACTTAGAAATACCATTGGAAAAGTTACATTTTCATTCACTAAAGGGTATTACATTTTCATTCACTAAAAGTGTTTTCAGTTTATTACTCGTAAACTCGTTGAAGGAATAAATTTGTGAGACATCTTCAAGTACTTACCTAAGTACCAGCCAATGTCCTGACTTATAATCATAGTCTCTCGTAGGGAGAGCGAGATTTTCATGGAGTACATACAAATACAACTACAGTACACTATTTTCCTAGTACAGTGCAACTTACATTTCTGAAGGGACCATTATTCTTAACTTAATGATTACTTAGCATATACATTAGACTTATATATAATGAAGATCCTATAGGCATTAGAACGTGTGATTCCACCTTAGATCTTGTTCTTTGTTTGGTTTTGGGATTAGGGCAGAGTCACTCATTCAACTGTCTGTTCGATCTTAATTATATATAACTTATATACATAGTAAGTGATCATAGGAAGAAGCAGTATGGGTCGCACCACTTACATAAATTAGAACTTCGTATTACATATTTTAAGCATAAGAAACTTATACATTTTGGTCTTAAGGTATTAAGACTACAGCTCATTTTATAGAAAATATGGGATTTTCTGGATTAATACACTAACGTTTTCAAGGAGCAAAGAACATAATTTTACATAAAAATACTTATGAACTCACAAACTTAAATGTTGACACTTTTTCAAAACCACTTTTATTCTCAGGAAACCAATTGACAGGTACACACACAGGTTTTCTGAAGACGGAGCATAGTATTGTCACGTCTTAGTTTTTGTTAAAGTTTTGTTGTGAAACAAATAATGTTTTGGACACAATGTAAATTATATATATTTTCAATATGATGGTTGTGTTTTCTTTGATTACTATTATTCAATTGTTATGATACTATACATGACGTCATCCAACCCCGAACGTTTCCGCCGTTCCGGTTTGGGGAGGTGACAGATTGGTATCAGAGCATTGTTTATAGTGAACTAAGTATATCAACCCATATAAGATATACAACTATAAATACAATGGGGAAAAATACTTTCACCAAGAGTTATACTTTTAAATATAATAATATTTTATAAAAGTATACATACATACATACATACTAGAACAGTGTTATAACAAGAACAATACAAAAGTATTTAGAAAGTTGAACAGCACGAGTAGGGCTTGGAATATATAATTAGGTCTAGGAAGAATATACTCTGATCAACTATATTTATCCGAGAGGTGGTTAGCATATGCCTATGAATGATCGTGGTGTTGCAACAAGTTTAAAACTTACCAACTGTACATACAAAGGAAGTCTAAAACCAAATATAAAGTTAAAATACTATAGGAGTATTTTATGATACTATACAATAATAACAAGTCTAAAAACTTATCATCTTCATATACCAAGAAACTCTAGAATCAAACCTAAAGTTAAAATACTATAGGATTATTTTAAGGTACTATAAATAACTTATGTGAAAACTAAAAGACCCTTACTAGAAGGTCTATAATTGTTGAGTGTAAATAATAAGGTGATATATAATTGAGATGTTATAGACTTTGAATTTGTGATTTTCGCTCTACTTCATGTTTGTTGTTTGGTTGTGGTCTTAGAGTAGGATCAGTTATTCGAAGGTTTATTCGATCTTAGTTATATATAACTGGTATGCACTACGTAATTATAGAAGTACCCAGCAAGGATCACACCATAAAAAATTCATTAGAAATGCTTCTTTTAATCTCATAAATTCTTTATATACACGTATTCTCACACAAACGACATATCAAGACATCGCACCCCACTACCACATCCAACATAGGAGTCGAGGAAGAACCAGAAGGGACTCATGAGCCGGATTCTGAGAAGGGACCAGTTGAAGAGAAAGGCGCTGGAGAGATCGTTATTGAACCTTACCCTATCAGGATCAGACATGAGAGGCCCGCTCGGACAATTGGGTTCAAGCTCTCCATCACGAAGTAATGGAGATCAGTAGCAAAGCCCGGAACATGACGATGCAAATCCAACACATCCACGAAGAAAAAAGAACACCATATGGGTGTCATGCCTACAAGTAGATCCAGATAATGATATGGACTACCTACACTTATTAGAGGAACAAATAGCTAGAAAGGGACAACCAACGCAAGAGCGCTCGAAGAAACAACAGATTGTTATTGTTCATGCTGCCACAACCCTACCACTCTAGCACCCGTCAATCCAAATGCTGGAACCCTTCCAAAATGTAACAAGTGTAACTTCCATCACATCGGAGTTTGTCAGGAGATGCATCACAAAAATTGCAACAGAAAGGAGCACACTGCCCGTTTTTGTAAGGCATCGGCACAACCTATCACCTAGGGTCCCCGACATTGTAGTAAGCTAGGCTTGTTGCGAGTGTGGTGAAACTGGACACTTCAAGAGAGATTGTCCAAGAGCAAGGAATGTTGATGGTGATGGAAAGGTACTTATGATCACTCCAGGAGAGACTTTCCCGGAACCACCTGTGAATATCGGTACGTTCCCTAACAATAATGTTTAGGCCTAGAAATTTTCAAAACTAGTGCCAATTAAATTAAAATCACAAATTGATCCCCGTACGAATAAATCACATCACTCATATAAAACTAAGGATCCTTGCAGGTGAGATATGAAGGCTTAGTGTAAACGTCAGGGTCATATATAATTAAGATTCTATAGGCTTAGAATGCGTGATTTCGCCTTATTTCCTGTTCCTTGTTTGGTTGTGGACTTAGGACAGAGTCACTCAGTCGACTGTCTTCTCAATCTTAATTATATATGACTTGTGTACACCAA